TGTTTAACGCCGCAGAACGCGTTCCGAATGTTATCACAAGAATGCTGAGTTGTGGGCAAAAGTCGTGTTCCAGGCGGGAGTCGAACCCGCACCTCACGCTTTCCGGGCGAGTGCGCTATCCGTTACGCCACCAGGGCCGCTTTTACCCTCTCAGCTTAACGGCTTTTATGCCGTAGCCTATCAGCACTCACATCGATTACGGCTGACCGGCTCACCAAGTTAAACGTGTGAGTGCTGATAGGCTACGGCATAAAAGCCGTTAAGCTGAGAGGGTAAAAGCGGCCCTGGTGGCGTAACGGATAGCGCACTCGCCCGGAAAGCGTGAGGTGCGGGTTCGACTCCCGCCTGGGGCACGACTTTTGCCCACAACTCAGCATTCTTGTGATAACATTCGGAACGCGTACTGCGGCGTTAAACAGCAGTTATCATAACAAAACTAAATTCAACGTTTTCCACATAAAGTAACTCCTAAATCGATAATCCAACGTGCCATTCGGCCAGTCTACCTCTGTTAACAACAGAATACGATGGGGTTGTGTATTTACTACTGATAACTTCCATTGTAGGCGGTAGACGGATAGACGGTGTTCACGGTGCTTTGTCCAAAATCCTCAGTTGTGCTGTGCAGAGAACTCCAATCAAGCTCTGACTAGTATGCTGGACCCAAGATTACTTTGAGTAGGTCCCACAGAGGTGTAGGCCCCTCCTTCTTCCCATCCATGTGTACGCATTGCCTTAGTCCTGGTTCAACAGAGTTGGTGATGGGTGCATGAAACTTTGAGCCCGCTTTCAAACGCTAACACTATTTCGAAACCATGCGTCGAACAATACTCGTCAAGTGGCGGCGTAATGTCAGATTTTCTCGAAAAGAGTGCAGGGGTCATTTTAACGTCATTGGTGCACTTCACATTTTATATTTTACTATTATCTTCAGTTTCAGTTTGCGAGTTGGCAGTGTGATATTTAAGGAATTTTTTTTTGCGCTGGAATACAGTTCATTTTCAGGAGTCACTCCATACGCCGGTGCTTCCTTCTTTACATATGAGACTTTGAAGTTGAAATATATGGTGAGATTTCTACTTTCTTTCTTCTTTTCTGCTTTTGAACTCGTCATTCACATTGCTACTGGTCTTCCAGCCTGTCGCTATACTGTTCCTTACAAGCATCTTTCACGTTAGTGGGGGATGAGTAACCTCGATTTATGATCGCCCATAAGACCAGCGTGAAATATACCTCTTATTTGTTCCCTTTGATGTCTAAAGATGCGTAACCTAACCGTAACGTAACCTTGTGAGAAGAGCGCAGTACTACAAGTACTCTCAGCATGAAATGTGCCCTTCTTGTCGAACACATGAAGCTTTTCCAGGAAAAGACTGGCTGTGAAACAACTTCTCCGTGGCGGATGCTTTTTGGCGCATTTGCTGGTTTAGTAGGGCAGTCTTCTTCTTATCCCCTGGATATAGTTAGAAGAAGGATGCAAACCGGTCGCATCGAAGCAAGCAGTGGAGTGTTAAGATCTCTCGTTACCATCTATAAAAATGGTGGGTTACCATTCTTCCTCTTGTCGACGTTAGCTTATATGATCATTACTCAAAATTTGAAATTCCCATTCCTTTTTTTAATTTTGGGTTGAAAGTTCATTTTCAGAGGGTTTGAAGCGTGGACTATATAAAGGTCTTAGCATGAATTGGGTAAAAGGTCCAATTGCCGTGGGCGTCTCTTTCACAACCTACGAATATCTCAGACAGTATTTTATTTCATCATAGTGTTGTTAGCGTGATAGGGATTAGGCTTAGACATAACTTTAGTACGTTCCGATACATTGCTCAATTTACTTATTTTTCGATGATGTTTTCCTTTTTCATGATCTTAGAATGTAAGCTTTTTCATGATCTTGAAATGAAGGATTTTTGTTTTTTCTTGAAATGGAGGCCTTCATATCAAACCCATTCTAGTGTATCGATTTGCCGAGTGATTTTCCTCCTACCTTCATTTTGCTCAGGCATTACATTGTGCTCATTGATGAAGAATGCCCTTATCTAGCACTTGTTTTGCTGTCTTTATGCCTTTAGCCTTTTTCTCTCACTGTTCTTTCATGATACTACTATTTTAAACTGTCGATACATACTCGCTTGTTCTAGTCTTGAAATAGCGCTCACCAGTGGCTAATCCGTTTTGACTATATTCCAGTGTTTTAGCCTTTGCTCATTACGTTGTAAATACTTCTATACAATGAATTTACTAGAGTTTTATTGGAATTTATAGTCATGATTTAATGTCTTAACGTGCTCTAATGACACGACCAGAACTGCATTTACGAATATCACTTGCAGAAATAATAAAGCTAATTAGAGACGTGCTTTGTTCACAGCTGCGGTGTCCGATACCGAAACACATGATTTCGAAATTACTTAAATTCCGAGCTCATGGCGCCACGACTAATTAACGTCGTCTTTCAAGTGGATATTGGTTTAGTAGAATTCAGTCCTGGTCGTCATCCAACTGGCTGGTTCATTTTATAGCTTCGAAGGATCGAAGGAGCGTAACAAGTCTCCCAGTCAGGTCATCCAGTCATACAGGGTTTCGCGGCTTGCCGGGATCATTAGCCTGATTCATGTCCTACTCTTGGTATGAAAGAAGGATCCCATTGAGCTTTATTACCTTTTCTATGATTTTCTCCTTCAAGTGCTGCCGTAAAAGTTCTTTTCAGGAAATCTTTAGTGAAAGTTTCAACTTTCCCAAGCTATGCATTCAGAAATTTGTTTGACCCAATGTCATCCATTAAAGCGCAGTGATTTTGTAATCAGGTTTAACTTTATTAGACATGTTTACTGTCCCACAACGAGATATACCGCTTTTGGGTTGATGTGGTGTCCTAAACTGCTGGGAGACTTGCACGACTCCCGCTGCCCAATGGCAGCCAGTAAATTCACTTGGCATCAGTAACTTCGGGTCGCTTATGCTTTTCATGTTATGAGTGGTATGACACTAATAGTTACAACGCTATTTTCTAGGTCATCAGTTATGAGCGTTTAGCAATGGGTAAATTGAGATCCGGTCAGTTTAGTATTCCTTTTAATGTTCGTAGAGTAAGATATTGTTACCTATTGTTAATAGCTTCAATGCACCCAGGAATATTTTCAGAGATTCGTAAAGGTGATGTAGTGTGGGCTCCTTATCGAAGAGACCCTCTGTGGCCCGCTTTGGTAAGTTTTTTAAAACAATGTTGCGAGTAGCATTCCTGTACAGTTCTTTTTCTCGTTAATTAATTTATCGCATTCACGCACACTTTAGTAGTTCGATGACGGGTAGGGGGCATTTGGCGTTTTTGTTACTCCCATGACTTGTCGAGCTATCAAGAGGAGAGATGTGGAATCGTGTGAAGCCACGAGATGATATCAGCCAAAGTTTCTAGAGACCACCGAATCGGCGTCACTTCTTTGTCAAGACAATGAAACACCATGCAAATACCTTTTGTCATGGTAGATTAACGAGCTTGCTTCAGCTTCACAAAAGTTCACAGATTTCACCAGAGTGAGACTTGTGAACCGGAAGTAGTGAAGCAGCGTAAGTGCATAATGCCCCCTCCCCGTCGTCGAACTGCACCCACTACGACGGAAGGGGGGGGGCATTTTACATTTTCGCTACTTCCTATCGACGTGTCGTCCTATCTAGTCAGCCTCTTTCCATGTTGACAGGTCTTTTACCATGGGCTAGATGAGCTTGCTCCAGCTTCAACAAGAGTTCACAGGTTGAATGAGGCTTGGAAAGGGATGAGGCTTGTAAAGGGAACTAGTTAAGCAATGATCGTACAACATGCCCCCCCCCTCCCCCGTCGTCTAACTGCGATCTTTTCCTCTTTGTCTTTTGCACATACTCATCTGTAAACACGACCGAACTGTCAGTGGGTTAGACACCATTGCGTCCGCCCATTTCGTTCTGAAGCGCGTATATGTCAACGTTCCTTTCCTCCAGCGTTTCCGTCACTTCGGCAGACTGGGGCCGGCCAGGGTACTAATATTAAATGTGGCCATCTGAAGGTCTTGCGTTTGTCCTTTACGGAGGACTTCCGAGCTTGTGTATCCCTTACGGTGGACGCCCTAGTTTAGGCCCATTACAGTGGGCAACCTTGCTCTGACTGGGATAAAAAATCCATCGATCATTGTGCAAAATTTGAACTTCTCAGTAACTATTCTATCCTCCGGAGGCGGCTTCCCCATTACCTGGCCTAAGCTAGCATTCCCACTTCACGTTGAGGCCGCGAGAATAGGATTTGTAGGAGACGATTGCACCAAGTGAACAGGATATAATCACACTGATGGCACTGTGTTACCTTGTCACAGCAGCGCTAATTGGTTTCCAATTCCGCTGACCGTCATTTTGAGCTACCGAACTGACGATTCGCTTTGCGAACAGAAAGGCAAACAGAATGGCACAGAAACCGACAGACAGGGCACCAAACTGACACTTCAAGTTTTTTCAGTGCTTTACGTAAGAGAGCGCTTTCCTAGATTGTGGGGGTCTGGATCTGTGCTCGAAACGTTCATAAATCTATTTTCCTACGCCAATCATTTAGTGCAAATTATATGAAACTACAATGTTTTGATCATTCAGGTGCGGAACAGTTATCCCAAGAAAGTGACATATGTGTTCTTTCCATTACCTCCTTCTGATTCTTTGGAGAATCTCTCAAAGAAGACTCCAACCTTCAGTTGTCAACCAAAGGTGTTTTTTTTACAAACTGTGAAGGAGGTAATAACCAAAAGTTACTAATACACACTACCCTTTTAGTCTGTTCGTGCTCTATCCGTTGACGACAACTTGCCCTCTCGTTGTGCACCTGATCTCATTGAGGCGTTTGAGGCCGCTATACAGTATCTCCATAAGAAAGGACTGTCAAAGGTTAGTGAACTGTTCGAGAATCCTCTTCGTTACGATGCTCTCCAAGATAACCCTTTTTGAAGGGTTCTGCAGCACCGAGGCTGACCACCACAATCACTCCCAAGGGTGCTCAGTCAACACTGGCTCGGAACAATGACAAAATCTTGGCAAATAACCGGACTCCGATCAAGGTGACCATTCACCAACTTGTAAAAATGACCATCTTGTATAATCTTTTTTTCAAAGAAGATTCTGATTCATTCTGTAGAGATTGTTGCAGAGATTTTCAAAACAGGCTGGTCATCTTATTCCAATTTAGGAAGAACGGGACGCCGATATAAAACCAGAAATCCATGTTGAAGATCGGCAGACCGGAAGTCGTTGTGACGAGGACAGCATGGCTAGTGTTGAAGATGAGCCAGTCAAAGGTACGGGCGAATGATATCCCAGATTTTCCAAGGACATCGACAGCAAGTTTTTGCTTTATTTGATTGTGTACCATCAGATCGGTTCACATGGATTCAGGAGCGAGGTCTGTTCGATAAATTCCCAGCGTAACGAAAAAGAACTGTAAAATCGTGCCCACAATACATAAAATCCCTCTTCTTGTCAAGGATTATTTGCTCCTGAACTCGATGTCGCTGTATGCCACAATTTTGATCACGCGCATGCGTAAACACCCTCAAGTCGTATCAAAGGTTTCGGTTGAGCATAGAAAACTGACCTCTTTGAAGAGTTATGCAGGGAGGGTGATATCACTGAAGAAATTTGTCGGATGACTAAACGTTGCGAGGTTCCTCTCTAAGCGACAACGGCGGGCATATCTCTAACCTCTTTTTTGCTTTGTCATTTCATAGGCACGTCGAACGGTAGATCCAAGCAGGGGACGTGTTCCGGCGTTGCGGGGAGGTCATATTTGGTGCCGAATACGCATTTAATTCTTGGTCAGGATGATTTTTGTTCACAGTGTCGCGTGCTCACAATCCGCTGGGATACCCTAAGGGATGGGGCGAGGAGGTGTATTCCGTTTGCTCGTCATTGGGAAAGGGGTGGTGTTTGCCTCTGGAGAAATATGTGGGTGCTGGTGCTCGTTTCTACGTGCTATATACCCATACACCCCCCCCCCCCTACATACTCTCATCCCCCTTTCTCTCGACGGCAAATTGTGGAAGGGAAGTGTGGGAATTTTTGGCGAAATTCCGGTAGAAGGTAAAAGGGAGTCGGAGAAGTTGGGAAAACAGGAAAGTGGTAGGGAAGATGGAGGTTGAAAAAAAGGGGAGGGGCTCGGATCAGAGTAGGGACTTACAGTCGTGTAGGGGCTTATACGAGTCCCATGAGGGATGACCCAGCTTTTTCTGATTTTCGCATTTTCCAGTTTGGGCGTGATATTTCCTTCTGTAACAATGATAGTAGTTATCACAAAATGGTGAGTTGTGCGGCAAAAGTCGAAGGACGCGGAGCGGGAAATTCGGGGGAAACCCGATCTTCGTGCTGTATGATGGTTTTAGTTCATTGTACGAATATAAGCAGTGCTACGTCGCTGAAGGTGTATTAGCTATTCATAGATCTTCGTGAGCACCTTTAGGCTCAGCTTTCCGGAAAGGACCAGGATCAAAGCTGGTCATACAATGAGTACATTTATTAGAGGCGAAATGAGATGAGATGGCCGGGAAATTATGCGACAGATACTCAATTTCGACTTTTCTATGGCTTCCTCAGTTCGAGTCATTCGTTCATTTTTTTCTGCTTACCTTGTTTTCACGATCCTCGCTGGTATATTTAGGGCATGGGTGTCCTTTTGTGAATTTACAAATTGCTTTTTTTAAAAGTAATACTTGCACTACGAGGACTTAGCTCTGCTAAGGACTTCATTTATTTTTTCACTCTCATTGTCAGCGTTGCGATCAGAACAGCTTCCCAGCTTTCTGGAACATTTAGGTTGGGGAGCAGTAGTTGGGGAAACGCCTTCTTACCCTGATTATAGTTCGAAAAACAACTCACCCTCCCCTTCCTCTCTGAACTCCTCGACAGTTCGTGATATATGTACGTGTACTTATCGGTGTACCATGCCCTCGTTGAAGCCTGGAAGGAAGCGTTGTTCTCGTTGGGGCGCATTATTACTGGAATTTAATTAGTGGGCCTCCGAGACATTTTGCACTTGTTCCGCTTCGTTCTAATAAACAAAACTCAGAATCCGCCAAGTGAATGCTCTATGATAGTACTTCTTTATTTCTAGTGGAACCCCAACATATACCGCCATCTCCTCCGAGAGCATCAGCGTTTGCTGCAGACTCGACAACACATTCAGATACTTCATCACCTGATCTCTTGACGCCTACCGTTAGTTACCATTCAGAATTGTTTTTTGCCAGTTTTCCTTAGGTTCCGATATTGATTTGAACATGCATTGAAGATATTTCGTGAGGCAGCCTCCATTCTGGAACGCATCTGGCCGACAGATTTGGTGCAAAATTATGTGACGCCACCGCGTTCTGTGTTACGTTTTGAAACGCACACTGGAGGTCTTTTGTCAGGTAAAGTGTCTTCAATTTGTGTTTTCCTAAACAGCATAGATGTTGATTCTTGGATAAAGCAACGCTTTGCGGCTACTATTCCTGGAAATGAAGTTTAGACCATGAGACCGACAGTCTGTTCGACCTCATCTTCTTTTGGGTTCGCGACCGTGAGAATGATTGTTACTATTTACCTGGTGCTCATCTTGTACTTGAAGTACTTATGCCAGAAGTCATAATACAGGCTCTCATACAGGTAGATCCTTTACTGGTTCATATTGCTTATTCATGATACCAGAAAACCCTTTAAAATCTTTTACATTTCAGGCACGTGGAGTCTCACGGGAGGCAGCAGAGAGAATGGTGCGATACACACCGTCAGAAAGTAGCTGTAGCAGCAGTACGAGTAATGAGTTGAACTCTAATCACTCCTCTAAAAATGGAGGGAGCAACAGGTGAGCGACTAAAGCTTTTCTGCAAAGTGTTTGGCCCAGTCCGGCTTTGAAGGGAGAGGGCATCTTTGAAGCTCGTACCAACTCCGTTGAGCAAAATTTTGCAAGCTCCAGTGTCAAACTACTTCCTCCACGAATCGGCTGACCCATTCGGCAGCTCCTTTTCCCCAGACTTAGGCCAAAGCCCTCATCCGTCTGGCTCACACTGGTTTTTCGGTACCTTCCTGCCCTGGATGCCGTCCATATTGATAAGTAAAGATAAGTAAAAATAACAAAAAAGAAAAGGCGTTAAAATGTAGTTGGAGCGATTTCGTAGCTTTACTATAGTTTACTGATTCTTGCAGAATGGCCTCGCATGTTGACAAGCTCCCACTGAAAGCACCCCCCCCCCCCTTAGTTGAAGTGCGCCAACTGCTCTATTGTAAAAATGTGGTGCTACTGTTTAACAAGACACTGTCAAGACAGTGTCCTCGATAAAGCAAAGAGAACTACAGTCGTTTTCGCTGCAGACGCTAAGATGGGGTCAGGAAGGCTATTTGGTCTGGGGCCGGCTGGTTCTCTTACAATTTTTTGTAGCGGGCAGAATTGGTGGAAAAGGGAGCTTGCGCCGCATTTCCCGTTGGCAGCCCCAGCATCTGCGGCGAAAACGACTAAACCTCATGTTTTTTTTCTATCTAAACGGTCGTGCGCAGCTCGCTATGTACACATTTGAAATTTGAATTCTCTCACCAAGTCTGAGCTTCAAGGACCATTCAGCAAACCACCATATAACAAGAAAGTGATCCGTTCTCAAGTTTCGTTCGTTATTTCTAATTTTCCCGCCTAGACTACCACATTACTGACATTAACTAGTTTAATACGGCGTGCTGCGGTTTATTCCTGCCATCTTTACTGCTTGTTGATTGTGCTAGAGTCTGGGTACTGCACTCCCACTACCAACCTTTGGTAGCTCTTTTCTCAGATTCTGCAACTAATTGGCTCTTATAGAGGGGAGATACTAGGTGAACCGTGATTGAGGTAAAGCTGGAGTGCATTCTCACGTTGTCATTATCACACTGCTTCCAACTGCTTCCATTAACGTTTTGTTCTGTTAATTCACATAGTTAAAGTCATACAGCTTATTACAGTGCCCAGAAAAGCGGCGGAAGTTTGGACGAGTTGGCAAGAATTGCATGCAAAGAACGGGAATCAATCACCGAGTGAAGGCAATATTTCACGTGGTAGTCTTTTCCTAGAATCGTATTCAATTTTTTCTTGTATTGGTTTGAATGCAATTTATTTTGAAATTATCATGTTCATGGTTATTATTGTTTTCTGCAATTGTCACCCTTCAATGTATTCTGAGCCGGCCCCCAACACGAGGAGCTTAATGTGGCCTTGCAGGTCTCATTTAGTGAAAGGAATTCGGTAGCAGTGATTTTCTAAATGTAGAGAAGTATGCACTCGTGTGAACCTGTCTCATGTCCCTGGACCGTTTGTTGAAGTCCTTGTTTTATTTATCCAAGAACTATTAATTATTTATTTCATTCCGAATGTTTCCAAAATGTTTTAGCTTATATAGTAGGTATAATTTGATAAAACGAGTATTGCAGAAGTCATACTTTCTTACCGCTGTACACATTTTCTTATCACAATAAAAAATTTGCTTTGTCGATCACATTTGTCACACACATTTGTTGTATTCGATTTATTGTGTAGAAATATATACTAATCTCTGTGAATAAGTTATACAAGAGCAGGAATAGCTGCAGAAAAGTGAATCCCCGTAGAGTGAACATCCTTAATCACAAAGGAAAACGTGCATTTTTGTTAAATACATGGTTATGCTTTTTAACTGGAATAATATCAAAGAAAAGAATTGACAGTGAAAGCACCTACACCTCAGCATGCTTGTGATTTCATTATGTATAGACAACAGAGGTGCACAATCTTCTTGTCATAAAGCAAGGTAATCCTCACAGTCGAAAGACAGAGGATTATCACTTTTTCCAAAAGAAACAGTCACTATGAGACTTATGAATGAAACTAAAGGGCACTATTCAAATATTACTACCCAAAGACTAAAAAAGTTTTAGTGAGACATTGCCCATAAGGGTAATTAGATATCCTGCTTACGAGTATGACATTCGTTTTTGACGCTGTCGCCACTAGGCACTAATTTGGCGCGACCACGTTCCTTTCCTCGATGTGAACTTGCATACTCAGGTTATTCGGAAGCCTGATCAAGAACATTACATTCACTTTAGCCCTGGCTCCATTTGGCGCCATACCCTTTTTCATTAACATCGATAAAACATACAAGTTTTCAGCGGACTTGGGGTGATCTAGGGTATCTTGGCGCAGGTGCTGCGGCGCGAGCGCCGGGCTAAGTGGATGTGATACTCGTATTCAGGAGGTCAACTACTCCTAAGAACAAATTTTCAGCGAGTTTGGTGATTTAGGGTTCTTGGCGTCGGCACCTCTGGAGTGGGAGCAAAGCGGTTTCGAGCCAAGTGGATGTGATATTCGTGTTCAGGAGGTCGAATTACCCCTAGAACCCAACTTTCAGCCAAATCTGCCCTTGTATGATGAAAAAGTCGGTCAAAAACTGGCTTGATTTCGGTAGACTGGGTAGGAACAATTCAGTAGTACCATATAACGAAATTAAATGTAGCGGGGCTATGCCTCAAAGCAATACTAAAAAATAGGATCACGTTTGGTCTTCGTTTTCGTGTTCTTCATAATAAGTAAGAATTAGTGGAACAACCATAAATACAATAACAACGACTGCAACTAACGCCCACGCGGAACAGACAGTGTCCGGTTGGCGAGCATCCACGAAATGAAAGGAACCTGGGATACCGTCTTCCGGCAACGCTTCTCGCACTTGAGCTGAAACTAAAAAATTAACAAAATGGAAACATTCTGTGAGTACTGGTTTGCACACGTGCTCGAATTAAAAAAGTACCAAAGTTCCCGAAGCACTGCTTATTTTAGCAGTAGCAACCACGGTTATAAGCAGCTCAGAAGCGGAGATGGTTCCCCACAGCAAGATCCAACAAAAACTGGTGCTATTCAAAGCTACTAGTTCTCTCTTAATGCGAGTTTTTGATGTGCAAGATGAAAACCACTGCCGATTTGTTCGTGCACATCGAAAAAATGCTCATTCACAAGCTAACAGCCAAAAGAAATACTAAGGTGCATAGAAGAATCTTTTTTTTGTTTGCGCCGATTCTTCCGCAGTGATTTTAGTTGTATAGTCGATGTAGGAGCGTATTATGTAGACTACGCAAAAGAGTGTTGAGAGAGCGATCACAGTCAATTCAGCACTCGTTGAGAGTGCTGTTTCCATATCGAAAATGATGAATAAAAAGCGTTACTTTAATTACGCTCTGCTATTCGTATCTCAATTGCATCACAACTTGGTTGGAATAAAAACCCCCTGCCGCTCCCCCCACCCCCCTCCCCCCCCCCCACCCCCCTGACATATTTCTTTGAATCGGATGCAGTTGCCGCCTACCTATTGAAGTGATAAAACCGCTCAAGCCTTGGGCGATACTCGTCTGACAGGGAGATCACCAGCAGTTTGATTTGAACCCTGCGTGCTCCTACTAAAACCCAGTGCATTTTGAATCAAGTCGCTCTCTACTCTCTACGCTTAGCTGTTCGAAAGCGCAAACGGTAGAGGTCCCGACCAGAAGTTTAGTCGAAAGACCAGTTCACCTAATCACAAGGGGATACCTGCTGAATACTATCGACAGTATGTATATTGTGCTTCACGAGGTTTTTAGGTGAAATATTATTAACAGTGTGCGTTTCGACTTATTTTTCTCAGAGGCCTAAAAGTATTGTCGAGATAAACCAGGTGAAGTCGCCAAATACATGGAGAACTTTGAATGGAGACCTGGGTAGATCGATAGAGTCTATAAGGTTATTTACAAATATAGATAGCAAAACTGCAACCTGCATTTCACAAGCAACTTATGAGCAGGTAAAGTTTTTTGTGCTGTGGTGGAGGCTTGGTGTGAGCTGTGAAGCATAAGCGAGGAATCGCATACGTCGAATCGAGTCGTCGAACGTCGAACCTTACCACTGAACCACCACGACTCGATTCGACGTATGCGATTCCTCGCTTATGCTTCACAGCTCACCACCAAGCCTCCACCCTACTGCACCATTACAAACTTTACCTGCTCATAAGTTGCTTGTGAAATGCAGGTTGCAGTTTTGCTATCTATATTTGTAAATAACCTTATAGACTCTATCGATCTACCCAGGTCTCCATTCAAAGTTCCATGGTAAGTGGCAGACTTCCTGATAAGAGATATGCACTATCCCGCCAAGCGCCTCGTCCACCCCAGCATCTTTTAATCGTCTTCTTCAGCCTCCTTTTAGGCCTCTGAATAAGACCATTAGTCGAAACGTCAGGCCGTTAAATAAATAGTTCCACCTAAAAACCTCGTGAGGCACAATATAACACTGAATTATTGAAAACTAACATGCCGAGGTTACAAGAAGAGAGAAGCTGGAGATTATCGACAGTTTCTCGGAAGAAACTGAAACTTGAACGACTGAATCCATCAAAAAAGTCAGAATCAGTAACTGAAGTAGATAAATTCAGTAGAGCGGTGATGTTGTTCACGTGAGACGTTCTTGGACTTTACAGCCGGGAATCTTCCGCTCACCGCTACGATTACAGTCGAGCCCTATTGTACTTGAATGCAAAGAGAAGGAAGCTCCAATCTCCACAACCCCACAACCCAACTATGTTCGCCTACTCCATACCACAGGTTCTGAAAATACAAGCTTGAGATTCTGAAGCATGTTTGGGAAAATCTTTCGCACCCAACGTAGCCACTTTCCGTTCGGGACCAACTGTTCCAAAAACGCCTTGACAATGGCTTGTCTTTCTCGGCTTGGAACCGAAAAACTTGTGGAAGCATGGCTTTGACTCTTCGTCTGATCGTTAGCAAGAGCTGCCGGTGGCACATATACTTCCGATCGATATTGCTCATTATTGAAATGAATTTAATTCGATAAAAAAAATTCGAAAATATTACGAACCTTGAGACTCCTTAATAAAAAGAAAATATATTCATCAAGAGAACATCGCAGTATCAAAGGAGATTGTAAAAACACTTCTGTATCACTACAAAAACTCACTATCTATTGTCAAAAAATAGACGTTATACGCAGCTAGTTCTATTTATGCAGAATGAAATGCTCCATGGTGAGCGAATCAGGAACTACCAACGAAACCGTACAAGAGAACGATGGGCAAAAGAGAGAATAGAACGAGTGGTAAAAATGGGAACGAAAGATAATAATTATCTACATACCTATGGTGGAATCCGTCTTGCGAAAAATATCTTCAACGCTTGGATCTCGTGAAGTGTCCACGTTTCTGGTGTTTGGTCCCGTTTTCTCATTCTCCAATAAACCAGCGCGCTCATCGAAGTCTGGAACGTTGAGGTTCAGGATGGTTTCTCTTATCAGAACCATCTCCATATACAAAGAGACAACGAGAAGATAGGTAACTGGAAGGTAGTTCATACATGTCATCGGTGTACTGAGCGTTATCGGCGGACAAGAAAGCGTAGGTATCAATCTTGCGTTTTGATCGTTTCTTTTGAAGCGCTGAACGCCGGCGTTTCTCTCAGAAGTTAGTTAAATACCTATACCTCCCTTTGCTCGAACACAGACGAGGAGTATGAACGCAACCCAAGATAAACAATTGTGTATGAGTAGACAAAGATAAAAAGCAAAAGACTTCTTGATCATTTCCTGTAATTGTACAGTAGAAATAGTAAAAAAAAATCGAAAAAGATCGCTACAAATTATTAGCAGGAATTTCGGACCGGGGCTACAAATGTAGATTCTTGTGCCAGTATCCAAATCCGAGACAGGGTAAGAGCAAGAATACATTCTTCCTTCTTTTCAAGGTCGCATTATCATATCCAATTGAGAAGCACACAAGCGAAATCGCAAAACAGATAGACTCAGAGCGAGCTCAGCACCCATTTCATCCCGGTATTGGTCGAATAGGTCAAAGCTTGCAAAGGAGCATGAGCATGCATTCCATTCCCTTGTACATTTCGTAAAGTACCTAATTTACTAGTTACGCGTTATAAGAATCCCCGAAACCTCCAACACATTATGACATCAATACTCCAATAAAACTGGGTAGTTATGGATTTGGAAAGGGTAAACTGTCGAGAAAAATTTGAAAAATGTAGGAGAATCAACACTGCAGTGTACTGATGTAGTTGCACAAAGCGTAAATTACCTATTATGTGTTCGTCATCTTCGGATGAACTGCCAACGCCGAGAGCGTACCGCAGTCGACTCACAGGAATTTTCACAACGGTTAGTGCAACGAAATCCTGATCACTCACGAGATTGTTGACGCGTTTAATATCGGATACCTGAGACAACAGAAATAAGTCACACGGCGTGTTCGCTTATCATACAGTGCGTTTTGAAGCTGGATGTCCCTCTCAAAATGGCTGCTTCATTTTAAGGCAAAGCCTAATGGGCAACATAAGGGAAATACGTTGAGGCTCTCCAGAGCTTCTTTCAATCACAAAAATACTTTGGCCGGGCTGCTTGGATCGTCAAAACGTATTGAAAAGGTGAGCCGCTCTTGAAAAATGAAATTACTGGATTGGAATGAAGACGAAGTTTTACACTTTAAATGTCCTTACCCAAAGCACTCTGGAACTTCTTATATAGGGGAGTTGTCAACCGCAGTTCAAAACATGAACTGCGTTTGAAACAACTTTCAGAGGTGTCATTGTTTTGTAAAACACACTGTCCCCATTTCAGTACTCATATAGGTAGCAGCTGAACATTACGTTTGTTCGTTTTCTTTGATAATGAAGCAGCGTAAACTAGATCGTTTCAAGCCTTAACGGCCTGA